GGGATGGGATGGGATGGGATGGGATGGGATGGGATGGCAGGGGGTGGGGGCAGCACACTAACCCATGTTCCCCTATCTCTCTCGTCTCTGTTACAGCCCCATTGTCTCACAGGGAAATGAGATGTTGGTCCAGTTTGTATCGGATCTCAGCGTTACCTCGGACGGGTTTCTGGCCAAGTACGATGTGAGGCGGAAGGACGGGGCACCTGAACCTCCCAAGGAAGTGACCCCAACAAAACTGACCAGGCCCAGGCACCCAACCGGCACCATCACCCGAACTCCCAAACTGAAAGGTGGGATCATTCCCCCCACACACCTTTCCTACTCCCCAATCCCCCCACCCCACCATTGCACCACTGTCTCAGCCCCTCCCTATGCTGTCACCACACGGGGTAGGAGAAGGGCCAGGCCACTCGGCCCATCGAGCCTGCTCGCCCTGGCCTGCAACAAGCCCCACAGTTTCTCTGATCACTCGGCATTGACACCGACCACCCACCCCCCCATAATCTCTCACCCTCTTACTCATCAAGAATCAAGCTCCTTCCACCCCCACCTTAAAAATATCCTGTCCCACCGCCTTGTCAGGGAGAGAGTCACCAGCCCCCCCTCGCCCCCCCACCCCACTGTGAGATAAAGATTCTTCCCATCTCTGTCCTAAATGAGTGTGCCCTCCTTTTTAAACATCGGACCCTCTTTTTAGATTCTCCCAAAGTTGGGGATACTTGCTTTCCCGGTCAGGACCCCCTCTGGATTGAACATAGAACAGTACGGCACAGGAACTGGCCCTTCGGCCCACAATGCTGTTCCAAACATGGTGCCAAATGAAACTAATGCCTTCTGCCTGCCCTTGGTCCATATCCTTCTATTCCTGGCATATCTGTGTGCTTCCCTAAAAGTCCCTTAAACACTCCCTATCATATCTACCCCCACCCGACCCTTGGCAGCGCGTTCTCAACTCTTACCCCTCTCTGTGTAAAATACTTGCCCCTCACATCCCCTTTGAACCTACCCCCTCCTCACCTTAAATGCCTGCTCTTAGTGTTAGATATTTCGAGGTCAGAAGTCACACAACAGCAGGTTTATTTGAAAACACAAGCTTTTTTGAACCTTACCTGAGGAAGGAGCTGAGCTCTGAAAGCTTGTGTTTTCAAATAAACCTGTTGGACTATAACCTGGTGTCATGTTATTCTGACTCTGTCCACCCCAGCCCCACACCGGCCCCTCCACATTTAGACATTTCAACCCTGGGAGAAGAAATCTGACCATCAACCCTACCTGTGCATCCCATTATTTTATAGACTTCTATCGAGTCTCCCCTCAGCTTCCACTGCTGCAGAAAAGACAACCTGAGTTTTTCTAGCCCCTCCTTATAGCTCATACCCTCTAATTCAGGCAGCATCCTGGTAAACCTCTCCTGCACCCTCTCCAAAGCATCTTGTAGGTTCTATCAAGTCATCTCTAACTCTTCTAAACTCCAGCAGAAACTCTGTGTCCACTACAAACTCCACCTGTCCAACCTTTCCTGATAAGGTAACACCCTCATTGCTCCAGGGATGGGTCTGGTAAACCTTCTCTAAACTGTTCCCAATCCATTTACAATGAGGAGATCAATTCTGTAACACTGTATTCCCAATGCGGTCCCTTCACTGCTCTGTCTAACTGCAGTAAATCCTCCCTGATTCCCCTCCTGATAAACAATAACCTTCCAATCACTTTCCAAATCCCTTGCTGCACCTACATACTAACTGTTCCTGATTCACCCAGATCCCTCTGCAATCTCACCCCATTCAAACAAAATGCTTCTTGTTCTCTTCCTCCTGCCAAAGCGGACAATTTAACCTCTCCACCTCTCCGTCCACCTCTCCCTCCATCACCCTCTGTCTCTACTTCCACCCCTCTCTCCCCCTCTGTCTCCCTCTCCCACTGCACCCCCTACCTCACTCCCCATCCCCACTCCCTCTCC